ACTTGTGTCTTGTAGAGCTACTGTTCACAGAATGTGCATTTCATGAAAGATGCACACATTTCACTAACTGTGCAGTCACAAAATCTGAGAGTAATGTTAATAACTAGCCTAAATCTGAAAAAGATTATTATGATTGCTTAAAAATATTTTACCGCTGTAATAATAGCTTACTCTCATGGTTTTACAGAACTGGTAATTATTCCAACTCATACACTGTTAAACAATTTAATTTCGACTTCCAAGGATATTTATGACATCTAAGTTCTAAGGAATTTATGAGGACATTAGGGTCAAGCATAATGACATTGAGATTTTAATTTCAAGATGACACAATTGGATCTGTTACCATGACTAATAATTTGATTTGTTTAAACTCTAAACCAGAGCTCAGCAACATTTTTTCACCCATTGCACACTCTATGACATAATGATGAATTCTGCGTCTCACCACAAGAAAACGCCTGGGAAAATATTTTATATAAAATAATGTTGTTGACATTCATTACGGTGTGTAATGTTTATAGGGATTGTTATGTACCGTTATATGGTTTTACAAATTTAATCTGTTTTAAGATTTGTTAGAAGAACAATACGTAACAAAGGACTGAAAGCCAGTATACAAAGAAAAATTATCTCACAGCAAGTGATTGATATTAAAAATAAACAATATATACATAAATAAAAACTATATTAACTACAGTACAGCAAGTGGAAAAAGTACATTACTATAAAGGTACAAATATAAAAACACAAAGAAAAAAAATTGTGAGATCTTTCGTCTTACATCTCTGGTAACTCGTGTAAAAGTCTGCCGGTCACAGTCGACCATCATATTTATAGTGACGATGTTAGAGCACTCCAGAACATAAAGTCTAGAAATTCAATCGCCATTAAGTATTTCTCCCTCTTTGTAGACCCTTTTGGAAAGTTTTTAAAAAAAATAATTTTAAAAAAACTTTTCCAATCAAGGGTGGTGGGGGAAAGTGAGTGACAGTCAATTGGTGATGTCAGTAGGTGTGACAGAGTCAATTGGTGAGGTCTGTAGGAGTGACAGAGTCAATTGGTGAGGTCTGTAGGAGTGACAGAGTCAATTGTGAGGTCAGAAAAAACAAACAAAGGTGGAATTCCACGGCTCGAACTAGGTCAACAAACAGGCTATAGGTATAAGAGGGACGATATTACTATATGGACAGTCTTAATTGGACACAGCTCTGTTACCGCAAAGTTTGAAAGCTTGTCAACAGTGTCCACTGTTGTAGCAACATGGTTTATACCTACATTTACGTTGTGCTTCCCTCTCGGAGCCAATTTACTTGGCACAAAGGCTAACGTGTTCCATCCAATCCCATCCCAACTCTCGAATTCAATACCATATGTGAAAATGCCAGAATTGACCAAGGTCCAGGGGAAAGTTTCTCTTCCACCACTCAGGGGAGATAGACGCCCCTGGTTGGTAGGGTGGTGAAGCTCTTGATTTTTTTTCAATTTTAAATAAATTTAAAGCAAGGGCATCTACACCCCCCCCTCCAAAAAAAAAAACTCCCTTCCCAGGACCTTGGTCTACTCCGTGGGTCATGGCATTGGTCTTTATTTTTAGAGCTCTTTCTAAATATGGGCCAATCAGACAATTAGTAATAGAACACTCTACATTAAAAAAAAATTAAAACATTGACTATCTAATAACGACAACCCAGTACCGAGTTAACCTAAAGCCGGGGTCTCAAACTCAAATCATCCGGGGCCGAAGGAGGTAGAGTCAGATTGAGACTGGGCCGCATCAAGTATGCCACAAAAAAGTTATTAAAATTCATTAAAGTACAACTGTTACAATCTGCTAAACCTTTATAATTTAAACAAATAAAAACATTAAGGGTTCTCAAGAACTAGGCTTCACTTTCTTCCTCCTACTCATTGTTGCCAGTGACCTGGCAGCGTTTCTTCTTGCACAGCTGAGCAACTTTGGCTTGAGTGAGAAAGCAACCTCAGTATAGCTTGAAGATGCTCATCAGTAAGTTTGACCCTGCATTTTGACTTGTTAAAGTTCATAGTGGAAAAGAGCTTTTCACACAGGTACTCCCAAAATGCCATATGATCCACCTGAACAACATTGAAATCTCAGTGAAGGTGGGGGGCGATGCTCTCATAAAATGTCCATGCTTGTCTGTTTTTCTTTTCACCTCCCTGAATTTAGCATTGCACTGAAGATCAATCAGCTCCATTTGAAGCGCAAAAAATTGGGGGGGGGGGGAGATCTTCAACATAAAAGGGGAAAGGGTCAGCAAAAATTGAAAAGTGGCTCTGTGTGTTTTGTAGTCTAAGAAATGTGATTACATTCTTCCTGTAGCGTTGCAATGGCATCAGTATACTTACTACTCAGTAACTACTGAATGGTGCACCTGAGTCCATGAGTACTTCGCATGTAGGGAAATGGCAGAGGTTTCTCTAAGACCCATAACACAATTTTTGTGCAGAATGTCCTGACATTATCATAGGCAACACTGACAAGCTACCCCTGGTCTTGTAACTTCTTGTTAAGAACATTCAGCTCCTGTGTAATGTCAAAAGAAAAGCCAAGTCCATTAGTCATTAGCTATTTGGGATCCTTTAGTACAGTGGTTCTCAACCTTCCTAATGCCGCAACCCTTTAATATAGTTCCTCATGTTGTGGCGACCCCCGGCCACAAAATTATGTTTGTTGCTACTTGATTACTGTAGAGCATATGTGTTTTCAGATATTCTTAGGTGACCCCTTGGAAAGGGTCGTTAGACCCCCCAAAGGTGTCGCGACCCACAGGTTGATAACCGCTGCTTTAGTACATGGGGGGAAAAACCACCCCATCCTTCTCCGCGAAGGCTTTAAATGCTACGACGTGTTCAAACAGTAGCAAGGGCAGGAAATCAATGTTCTTTCTAAGGTTTGTTGGTTCGTGTATAAAATCATACAGTTTTGTGCAAAGTTTTGCAGCATCAATTTTTTTGTGTGAAAAATTTTACAGCCCACAAACACACACTTACATGGAAATTTGCTGCGCGGATACTCAAAACTGCTGCGCGACGTTTGTGAGATAGCTGCGCGGCCGCGCTTAAAGGGAACATTCCAGGCAATATGTATGAATTATTGATGCAAAGGAAGCTGCTACAGTAGGGAAAATGAATTTAGATTTTTATCGAAGCAAAGGCCTTTTTGACTAACCTTATTTTGAAAGTGACCCGGCTGACATGGAATTTCCCTCACTCGTAACCACTAGCGGCAATTTTTAAAGGGACTTTTTGATACTATATCAGATTTGCTACGCTTTAAACAATTATGGTTGTGTATTACCCACTAACTGACTTTTTAAACTTTTCTCAAAGCAACCATTTGGCCATGCTTATCTCATAAAATGCTATAAAATAACATATTTTAGTCCTATTTTAAAACGGTTCGTACGATTATAATCAACGTCCAAATCTATGCAAACAAAATAAAAATCAGAATTAGACTAGTCGGTGAGATTCGACTGAAAGCGTCGCGGAGGGTCACATTTAGGAATATTAGAAAGGGTAAAACGCGCAGGACGCATTAACACTAAACCAGTGGTTCTTAACCTTTTTGGAGGTACCGAACCCCACCAGTTTCATATGCGCATTCACCGAGCCCTTCATAATAGGAAACATAAAATATTTTTTTTTCTGAATATTTTGGGACCTCCGCCGAGACCCTGAGACTGACTCACCGAACCCCTGGGGTTTGATCGAACCACTGCACTAAACTTTGCTGTCATGTTTTTTTTCATGTAGCAGGATGCAAAATATCGACCCCTGACCTAAAGGTAAATGAGGCACGTGAAACTCGCGTAAGTGAGGTCAACAAGGTGGGCTGGCTCTTATAAATGGGATTTGAGGGGGGGGGGGTGAGTGCTGTCCTCGGTTAAAAGCAACAAAAAATAAAAATAATTAATAAGACGCTGAGCACGATTTTAGGATGAAAAACTAAATTCAGATATGCGCGAAAATGCATCCTTTCATGAGATATAGCTGAGAGAAACCCTGATCATATTTAACAAAAGTACATGTAACTGATATGTAGTGGCGTAGGAGGGTGGTTGTGGGGCGGGTAATCAAATTACCAAATCCAGTAATTTAAAAAAAAAATGAATTTGAGTAGTATGGCAATAGACCTAATATATTTTTGTTCTAGCTTTAATTATGATGATTCACCTTCCGTCTTGTAACTTAATGGATGTAGGGTCACAATGTATCATTTCCGAATTATTAGGAAAATGTTTTCAATCTCCATCATTTTCCTGACTAGCAAGAACAAACGCCTGGTGTTGACTAGAGAACCTTTTGCTAAACCATTTCCCCCAAATTCTTCTTAGAAGCATCTGTAGACGCCCTTGATATAAGGATAGCATTATAATATATATTTATGCACAGACACCACCACAACCCGCGGCTCATAGGCTTCAAAGGTCATCATCCCCAAGTTAAGAAACCCTGGTCTCGAATGACTGTCAGTGTATGAAAGTCATGATGATGATCATGTGTAGACATCTTATATTTCAGAACAACTCATTATATATTTATTTAATATCCCTAAACATAGAGGTGATTATTAAACTTTTTTTAAAGTAAAATCATTAAGCAAACTGCTTAAATTTTAACGAGAATACAGAAGATTATGTCAATAAGCTTCATGCCATAGCCTAGGCCTAAGTCAATGTCATTGATTAACATCATTATCATTGTTGTCATTATCATGAAGACCGAACAAGAGAATTGAACTTACTTCTAACTTTACAGTCTAATGATCCATGATAAATTATACATGTGATGGGGTATAAATGTATTAAAGTGTCACAAAAAAGCGCAATGAAATTTTCAATAATTTTAATTGGTAACAAAAATTAATAAATTCGTAATTAGATTAGCGATAGCATAGTGATGTTAGTATTGCGAATTTAAAAAAAGGTGTTGAGGTTGACATGAGGGGCGTAACTCGTGGTTCAAAAACGATCAGAGTTATCACGTGACCCTCAAAATGGCTGACGGAGTGGAACCTCCCCCATTCGATAATGATGAAGAAGAAGTAAAAGATGACGATGATTTGTTTTCTGATGCTAAAGAAGTAAGGCTATAATACCTTAAGAATATAACTTTAAAAATTTTATATATTCTTACATATTTATTTCTCCATAAAACTAATAATTAATATACTAAATGACTACTCATTCGTTGTTGACTATTTTGGCCACCGCTTCCGGCTTGTTTTAATCTTGTTGAGTAAATTAATTGAAATATATCAATTAAAACTTAGCAATATAATTTGTTTCTTCAAAGAAAAATTTTGTTAAACATCTTTTTCTGAAAATGGGGATTTTTATTTTCTTAAATTAATTTCATTTCATAAAAACTGAAGCCAGACTTACTACTGTGAGCTAGCTAAGTCGACCCTAGGTAGCCTACTTTTACTTATCCAAAAAATAAATATATATCGAAAAATATTACATTAGACTCTACTTTAGAGAAACTTCAAAAAAAAAAAAAAATTAAACCCAGAATCAATTGTTAAGCTTTACTGGAACTTTTTGAGCTAGGTAACTCTTGTTTAAATAATTTTATACAACATTAATTTTTTTAGGATTGATTGATTAGGTATTACAAGTTCTAATTTTAACATTATTAATAACACATTCTAACATATCTAGCTATGTAATTTTAAGCCTAAGTGGCCCTAAGGCATCCATTATATATATATATGGTCTATAAAGCAAGGCGTCTACCTAAAAATAATACTGGTTTGGGTCTACATATTTTGAAATTTCAACTTTCGCTTATGACTAATTATTTAAAGCTTTCTCTTACCGATAGTCCCGATAGTAAAGAAGTATAGTATAGCTCATGCATGTGACTGTGAATGATCGCCCAAGACAACATTTCCCACACATCAAATTATGATAATTTAAAATGGAATCTACAGTGTTTTAAAACCTCAAATTAAAATATTCTTGATTAAATGCCTTTTAATCTCTTTCTAAAACACAAGTTACAAAAAATTTTGATGTAAATAGTGGTAACAATTGATCATTACCTAAGTATTGGTATCTTCCACAATTAAAAAGTGGCGTGGTCAAATTTGGACTGAGCAACCTGATGATAATGGATGTTACTGGGATGAGAATAAATGATGCTCCAATTGCCCATACAAATTTTGATACACCTGCCTATACACTGTCTACACTTACTAACTGAAGTGCCACTCTGTCTCACTGAATGAAAATACACATGCTAACTTACAAATGACTTATCTTTAGGTCTGTAAAGCTATTAAATAACGCCCAAATTTGTTTGAATTATAATTATTACACAGTTACACATAAAATGTAATAAAATGAAAATAATAATATATTTTATTATTGATTGAATCTGTCATAATTTTTTAAACTTATATTTCTACTATTGTTATAATCATGTCACATTTAGTTTGCATATACCTGTATGTCACTTACATTTTGAAAATTACAATTACTGTATATACTCGTGTTTAAGTCACACTGGTGGATAGGTTGCAATCTTAGTTTGGGGCTGTCAAAGTGAGTATTTGCGGTTGACCAGCTGATAAGTCACACCCATAGTTTTGGGAGCTTCCGGATTAAGAAGGTGCGACCTATATGCGAGTATATGCTGTAGGCATTTTAAATAAGATGAGTTTATTTGTATTAAAAATAGGTTAATGAATTGAAAGTTAGTTTGGAAATTATTCATGTAAATCTAGTCCTACTTTAAATTTAAATAAAATTCTAAGTACTTTTTAGTCTTTAATGAATGAGGTATAACTATGTTAATGTTGGTTCTTATTAATTAAATAGTATTTAAAAAAAATTGAATTGATGTATTTTAAAATGAACTATAGGAATTATAGGAGTTCAGTTAGCTTAATAATTATTATATAAAAATTTTTACATCAGTAGTTTTCAAACCGGGTGACACTGATACAAGTATTTTACATAAGAGATAAAAATACATCAAAATACTTATTGGGGGAAATTTACCTACAGAATATTGGGTAATAATATTAATAATAATTTGAATGGTCCCTTCTACTCACCAACCAATTTATAATTTTTCTAAATACTTTCTTGTTTTTTCTAAAATTTTTGCTTGATGTGTATCTCAAGATTAAAATTTTTAAAACTTATGGTCTTTAATATATCAAATATAGGGCCAACTTATTTTTCAGTACTTACGGAATTAAGCCAACAGGTTGCTTTTTTTTGTGTACTTAATATCAGCCACGTAGCTAGTGTAATATCAGCCACGTAGCTAGTGTAATATCAGCCACGTAGCTAGTGTAATATCAGCCACGTAGCTAGTGTAATATCAGCCACGTAGCTAGTGTAATATCAGCCACGTAGCTAGTGTAATATCAGCCACGTAGCTAGTGTTGGTGCCTCCCAGTTTGAAAAAAAGTTCTGTCCAGTCCGACCACCCTTCCCCATCCAATTTCCTACACCTCCTCTTAATGTAGAAATTTTTAAAAAATTCGTATATCTGCGGTGATAGTACAATAGTGGTAATACAATAATTTAGTATAATTTAAGTGTGTACAATACTTAAATTGTAGTCACATGTGTACAATACTTTAGTAGTAGTTATGTGCGTACAATACTTTAGTAGCCGTTAGGTGCAATATGTTTAATTTTTTTCAAAGTATTTTCAAATTGCTTTGTTTTCAGAAACCGTCTTCACCAGAAACAGAAAAATCACCTGAGAACCATCATAATGGACCAGGTTTGGAGTTGTCTCCAGATGAGGAAGATAAAGATGATGATGATGATTTATTTAAAGGTATTAATGTGTTAAATTGTTTTGTATAAACCAATGAATACAGACAAATTAAATGTCCATGCATTCACTACAAAAGGTAATTCCAATGACAGTAAAACCTCAATTTCTTCTTTGGAAGGTGGAAGCTCAGAGATTAAGCTAGACTCTGATGAAGAGAGTCAAGAGGATAATGACAAGAAGATACCAGATTCCAAACCTGCTGCACCAGCAGGTGCCAGTGCCAAAGAGTTCACACCTCAGATAACAGTCTCACAGGCAATAACCAAAACTAAAGTAGCAGCACCATCGCTCAAATCAGATGATGTAAGTTACATCAACATCTAGAGCAGAGGTTCTCAACCTGTGGGTCGAATGACCTTTACACAGGGGTCGCCTAAGACCATAGGAAAACTCATATTTATGGAGTAGCAACGTAAATTATTTTGTGGTTGGGGGGTCACCACAACATGAGGAACTGTAGTAAAGGGTCGCGTCATTAGGAAGATTGAGAACCACTGATCTGGAGTGTTAATTGTATTTTATATAAGGTCACGTTAAACCTTATGGGAGTTTAAAAGTTTTGTTTTACTAAATTTAGGATTTTTTATTAGCTAATCCTAAAGATAAAATAAATTTTTTTTTTAGTAAAATCCTTAGTGCTTCTTAGAAGTTAGATAAAAAAAAATTAACTGTTTAAAAAAATATTTTATGTTTTTAGTTAATAGACAGTTCTGATGATAAAGAAGTCTATGAAATAGACATCAAGATAACAGAGACCTTAAAAATGGGTGATGGCATGTCAGCGTATATGGTTTATAAAATTATTAGTAAGGTAAGTCTTTTTTTAAAATTATTTATTACTAGCATTTGACTTCAACCTTATATTGTAAGTTTAAGTGTTAGCCTTTTAAATCTGTAATTGAAAAGTATTTCTTAAAATAATAAAAAGTAATTTGATAACACTCTTCTTAACAGACAACAAATCCAGCATTCAGGCGACCAGAAAATGCTGTTCTTAGACGATTCAGTGACTTTTTAGGCATGCATGCTAAACTAGCTGAAAAACATGTGCCTTTAGGGATTATTGTACCACCTGCTCCTGAGAAAAGTGTAATAGGTCAGTAGGTTCAAATAGTGTCATAAAGTCTTATGGTTTTATAAAGACTAAGTCAAATGAAATTTTTATGTGTATAAAAGTCCCATCAAAACTGATTGTGTATATATTGTCTTGGCAGGAATGACAAAGGTGAAGATGTCTAAAGAAGAATCAGGCTCGTCAGATTTCATTGAAAGGCGGAGAGCAGCTCTAGAAAGGTAATATTTTGTGGAGCATGGATTTGATAAATTTTATTATTCTTGATTTGATTGCCTACTGTAGTCTTACTATTGTCTTTCCATAGAGGAGTTATTCTTTTCTGTCCATCTCTCTCAAGCCTAAACATATCTTGTCCCACTATTTATTTTTTTATACAGAATTTGATTTTTAGTTTTACATTCAGTGTAATAGTTTTAAACTTATTAGGATTGCAACTTTTATATAGGACCCATTTTTTCCAAAATTTAAGTTAAACGCATGTATATCTGCATGGTCCACTTAGATTGGTCTGTTAATGTTAATATATTTTTTTTAAAATATGATTTAAAAAACCTGCAATATAATAATAATGCAGTAAGCATCTCTAATGTTAAATTATGAAATGGTAACTGCTGAATTAACGAGAATAAGTTTTCTCTGGACATGGTTTTCAGGTTTCTTATTCGCACTGCAAGCCATCCAACCTTGGCTAGTGATCCTGATTTTGTACAGTTTCTGGAGAAAGATGGGGACCTTCCAAAATCAACAAGTACATCTGCACTTAGTGGGGCTGGAGTCTTGAGACTGTTCCATAAAGTGGGGGAGTCTTTTGAGAAAATTACCCTCAAAGTTGATGAAAGTGATGAGGTTGGTACAAATTGTATTCCATACTTATCAGATTTCCCTTGTTAAATTTTAGGACTGCTTAGTCACATTAGAATAAGAGGTGTATCCAATTGAAATTAATTGATATTTCCAATTAGTCATCTTTCAGATTTGAGATGTACCTAACCAATTTTTTTTCCAAGTTATCCCATTTTTGAATAGGCAGTATCTGTGGATTAATATTTAAATAGTTTTGAAGTTGATAGGTAACTTTAGAATATCTTCTACCTTTTCTGTCACACACTGATATTGTTTTAAGCACAGTATAAAAAATATTAATACAAACTGGTTGGTGTCTAATGATCATAATCAGCCAAAAACTTTCACATGTATTCATTCATAGCTTAATAATTTTGTACACAAATGTTTTCTCTGGTAATACATAATGTTTAACTTTGAGGCGTACAAGAATTTGTATTTTTTCAAAATTCTTCTTTTATTCATGTTACAATTTTGTATCTTGAAAATGAATACCAAAAACACAGACATACACAGTAAATCTAGAGGGGGGGGAAAATTCCACCCCTATTTTTATTATGATCATGTTTCTTCTGGTCTAATGTCTCAATCTGTTTTACTGACATTTTTTAAAAGAAATTAAAATTACATAACCACGAGACTAACAACTGGAAGAAATTACCAGTGATTCATTGCAAGTCACATTACATCTACTTCCAACACCATTCTGCAAAGATGCTATGTTCTTGCATCATTTGAACTTGGCCTTGCTAGAAATGTTCCCTTCCTTGTCTATCACTGTTTTTGTCTCCCTCACCCACCACACATGCTTGCAGTCATGGGGTTTATACCTCCATAACTATTTTTGCTCAATCATCCCACGATCTCCTTCGGGCCAGTGGAACCAAGAGGTGGAGGTAATGGTCATTCTGTGTTGTTTTCTGTCCATGTTTCTCATTGTGACAATTTCCAGCCATGCATTTGTACTGTTCTGTAGTTGGCCAACTTTTGACTCACCTTTGCTTGTTGGTTCTTTAAATGTGTTATTTTCTAAATGTTTGTTGGTGGTGCTTATTTGACTTGGTTGATTGCGTTTTCAGTTTTTAATTATTATTGTCTGTGAGTGTGCTAACAAGTGAATGCACCTTGATTTACATAGTCTCTAAGTAAAGCATTTCAACGTAGTTCAGACTGATAATCCCATTACTTGTTTAGTTTCTATAATACTTATGCTACAAACTATGTTGTGCCTCTTATGTGTTGGAAATAATTCACATCATCTAGAATTAAATTAAGAGAAGTTTAGGTATAGGTTTTAAGTAAATAATTATTAAGTCTTATATGAGTTGTTTAATGGCAGATATCTTATTTGTCTAATATTCTCAACTGAAATATAAATATTTTAGGGTTTAGAAATGAGTCAGTAACCTCCAGCCATTTAAGAATCAATCATTTTATCAATTTTTGTCAATTCTTCCTTTCCTAACCTCATGAGATAAAAAAAAAAGCATGATAATATTAGGCCTTATATTCTAATTTCTTTGGAATTTTTTTCATGTTTATTTCTTCTGTTGATCTATGGGAAAAAAAATCTTAGTTCTCCATTTATTTTGATTTTGGATTTAGATGTATGCATTTATTTCAAATATATTCCTTCTTATAACCTTGTATTATTTTTTATCATAAGTATGTTCTTAGTCTTATTTAAATTTTAAATTAATTAATGCATGCAGCAAATTATGGTTCAGTATAAAAATAAGAATTTTCCAAATGAAGTTATTTGCTTGCTTTAAAAATAAAGCATGTTATTACTAATGTGTTCTTAGCTATATTTTTATCACTAAGACAATGCTCTATTTCAAAATGAAAACATTTGTGTACATAGAATTTTAAAAAATGATACACAGTTTTACACATTTAATGTACTCGTTGAAATAAGCGAGACTTAACTCCTTTGTCCATATATTCAAAAAATTAATTTTTTTTGAGTAAATTAGAATCTTTCATGTAAGTTAATTTTACTTGTCAATTAAGTATACATGTATAGCAGGGGTCTCAAACTCAAATCATCCCTGGGCCGCAGGAGGTAGAGTTTGAGTGAGACTGGGCCGTATCAAGTATTCCACAAAAAAGCGATCACAAATTTAATAAAGTACAACTGATACAATCTGCTCAACCTTTATTAATAACAAATATAAACATTAAGGGTTCTCAAGAACTAGGCTTCACTTTCTTACTCCTTGTTGCCAGACCCCCTGGCAGCGCTTCTTCAGCTGAGCAACATTTGGCTTGAGTGAGGATGCATCTGAGCCCCTCACTATAACTTGAAGATGCTCTTCAGTACGTTTGGCCCTGAACTTTGACTTGTTAAAGTTCATAGTGGAAAAGAGCTTTTCACACAGATTAGTACCGGTACTCCCAAAAAAAGGTACACAATCCACTTGAACAACCTGCACATCTCAGGGAAGGTGGAGGGCAATGCTTTCATAGATTGTCCATACTTGTCTGTTTTTCCATTTACTTCCCTGAACTTAGAATTGCACTGAAGATCAATCAGCTCCATTTGAAGTGCAAAAAAAAAAAGTGTGGGGGGGGGAGGGGGGCATCTTCAACATTAAAGTGGAAAGGTCAGCAAAAAATTGAAAAGTGGCTCTGTGTGTTTTGAAGTCTGCAAACATGTCATCAAATTCTTCCTGTAGCTTTGCAATGGCATCACTATGCTTACTACTGAATGGTGTGCCCGAGTCCATGAGTACTTTGCATGTTGGGAAATTGCAGAGGTATCTCTAAGAACCATAACACAAGTTTTGTGTAGAATGCCCTGACATTGTCATAGGCAACACTGACAAGCTACCCCTGGTCTTGTTACTTCTTGTTGAGTACTTTCAGCTCCTGTGTAATGCCAACAAGAAAAGCCAAGTCCCTGTGCCATTTGGGATCACTTAGTACAGGAACAACCACCCCATACTTCTCGATGAAGGCTTTAAATGCTAAAAAGTGTTCAAACATTCGGCGGGAGCAGGCAATATGTATGAGTTATTGATGCGAAGGAAGATGCTATTGTAGGGAGAATGAATTTAGATTTTTTTATAGAAGAAAAGGCCTTTTTGTCTAACCCTATTTTGAAAGTGACCAGGGTGACATGGAATTTCCCTCACTCGTAATCACTAGCGGCAATTTTAGTAGGAATTCTTTGATACTGTATCCGATTGCTACGATTTACACAATAATGGTTGTGCAATACCCATCAACTTATTTTTTAAACTTTTCTCAAAGCAACCTTTTGGCCATGTTTGTCTCATAAAATGCTGTAAAATAAAAAAACAACTTTTTAGTTAGATTTTAAAAAGGTTTTAACCATTATAATCAACGCCCAAATCTATACAAACATAGTAAAAATCAGAATTTGACTAGTCGGTGAGATTTGACTGAAACTGTCAGGAAGGGTCACATTATAGATATGAAAATGGGGAAAACGCGCGGGCCACATTAATACTAAACTTTGCTGTCATGTAGCGGGCCGCTAAATATGTCTTGTGGGCCGCAAATGGCCAGCGGGCTGCGAGTTTGAGACCCCTGATGTATAGAATGTAACACAATATCCTAAAATGGAAGGTGAACTAATTCATTATGTCGAAACTAGAAGAACTTTTATGAATCATGTGTATTGTTATCCCTGTGGAAGTTTATTATATATTTTTAAAAATTGTTTCTATTCATAAGTGGTTTGAGGAAAAGCAGCAGCAAGTTGAAGCCTTAGACATTCAACTGAGGAAACTCCATACAAATATTGAAACTCTTTCACAGCATCGTAGAGGTAAGCTTTATATTTTTTTTACCAATCCTATTATGTGCATATTTAATAAAAATCATTGAATTAATTCTTTAAAAAAAAGCCTTCCAAGTACCATTTTGATGATTATAAAAAAATACCAGTGTTTTTAGTATAAAATATTTGTAATAGATCTTTGGTAAAGAGATTGGTCGATCATAAGTAAAATGTTATCTCACAGAACTGAGCCTGAGCACTGCATCATTTGCCAAAAGTGCTGCAATGTTGGGCAATGTGGAGGAGCACACTGCACTTTCCAGAGCTTTGTCACAGTTGGCAGAGACGGAAGAGAAAATTGAACTCCTGCATAAAGAGCAAGCTGAGGCTGATTTCTTTGTCATGGCTGAGCTGATGAAAGATTATGTGGCCCTGATGGGTGCAGTAAAGGTTTGTCATCATGGTTTTTAAGATAGAAAGTTTGATGAACATCTTAGTTTTAGAAACTACTCCAGGCCGCTGACGGAAGTGGCTTGTCATAGCCTAGTCATGTGAGTAATTAAATATATTTTTATAATTACAAAAACTCAATCAGTCCAATCTTTTGCTATAATATTAGGACCAAAGGAGTTTTCCAAAGTCATAAACAATTATTTTAGAATGCAATGTGGCTTATCATAGCCAAGTCATGTGAATAATTAAATATATTTTATAATTACAAAAATTCAATCAGTCCAATCTTTTGCTTATAATATTAGGACCAAAGGAGTTTTCCAAGGTCATACAAAATTATTTTACAATGCAATAACATAATGAGTTTTATTCAATATATAATCAAAGAAAAAACTTTTAATGTGCATTTGCATAAATAGAAATGGTCTAACCATAATTTAAAGCACAATGAAAAACACAATTTTCATAATTTATCATACTTAGGATGTTTTTCATGAACGAATCAAGACCTATAAGCAGTGGAAGGATGCAGAAACTACTTTAGGCAAGAAGAGAGAAAACAAAGCCAAACTTGAAATGCAGAATAAATCTGATAAAATAAGTCAAGCTCAGGCTGAAATTACAGAGGTTTGTTTCTCTTCAGTTTTATCTCTGACATTTTTTTTATTCATCTACCAAAATACTGTCGAACCTGCTTATCTCGACCTCGGTTAACTCGCTAACCCTGTAATGTCGACGTTTTTGAAGTGGAACCGCCTAATTATCTCTTTGTCTTAGCATTTTCTCCTCAGTTATGTCAATTCTTTTATGTCGACGAACCCTGATATCTCGAGCACAAAATGTAGCCAAATTTGCGACTTAATCTCGGTTATCTCGATCTTCATGACCAACCACCGGCTTTTGAAAAATTTTATACAACAGAAACGTGCGTACTTCAAACTTTATTAATTGAAATGAAATGACAATATTAACTTGACGCGGCAAAAAGCAAGGAGCAAGAGGCTTGCAAACAAAAGCAAGGGGGCGCAGTACCTGTTCTATTTATAGCAAAGCCGCTTGTCGCTTAATACTTAATAGGCTTTCACGTATTCATACAGGTTGATTTTTTTAAACCCAGAATCGGTATTTGAATAAACTGATATGGCGTATCCGGAGTGAGAGAAAATAAAAACTGGTGAATCCAGAGGGCTGTAAAATATTTAGCCTCAGGAATCCGGATTCCGGGATAATCTGGAAAAGTGGCACCCCACATATGCCTTGTATTTTTAGCAAACATGTATGTACGTTTTTATAGCATGCAGATCGCTTCATCAAACGAATTGCGGTGACGCAAAAAAAAAAAATAAAAATCTTGTGCATGTACATCTCATTTATAAATGCACATCGTGCACATAAAGAAATTTTAAGCACATAATGCCGCCATATTGGTTTTCTTTTATCTCGATCATCGGTTACCTCAGCATTTTTTGGCAAACCCTGAGGCCGTCGACATAACTGGGTTCTACTGTACTCGGATTATAAGATATAACCATTTTTAACCCTCGAACTGTGGCATGCATTATAATGTGGTGTGGAGCTTTTCAGAGTGTTTTGAGTGTCATTTGAAATTGCATTCAATGACATAGAAATATTGATACAAGACCCCAATAAGTATATATTTTTGGAAAGGTAAATGAATGGGGATAAAGTTGGCCATATTGCCCACCCTGTAAAAAATTTTAGGTCAATGTCCTTGACCTTGGAGTGCTCAAGAAAAAAAAAATTGACAAAATGTCTTGCTTTCAAGTGCTCATAACATCATTAATTTTTAAAGATAAACTTAAAACACAGATCTTGTATGTTGTAGCAAATTCATTTATCTTTCAGAAAATGTATAGTTTGCTAAGGTTTTGATTGCAACTAAACCTCTGAAATCAATTTTAGTTATTTTGGGTCATTTATATAAGAAACTGGGACTACTGCTAAAACCAAGTACAAAATTAAAAATCTCAGGCAAAATAGTTATTATTGACTAGTAAACTTTTAAAAAGGAACTTTGGAACTGATTTGGGTTGTTTAACTATAAAATTTATTAGTTATTATCTATAATCTGTAGCTTCTTTGACTAAAATTAAGTCAGTCCTTGCCCAATCTCCGGGCCTGGCTCGAAGTCAAACAGTAGCCTCAATAGGCCTACTTCAGTATCACTAAGACTAGTATCAGATTCACGAAAAGAAGAATCTGAAGTGAGATGTCATGAGGAATGTTAAAATCATTATCAGTATCACTTAAATCCTCTCCTAAAAAGCGTTTAAAAATATTTATATTAGTTATCGCACCGAAGGCCCGGCTATAGCTTCCGCCAATTTAGCTTTAAAAAAAACCTACGATTAAAAAGTAATTATTTTTAAGTTATCAATAAAAAGCTTGAACCGGAAGAGGATTTAATTATTAATAAAAGGAAGGGGCTATAATTCCGGTTAAATATTGGATTGGAAGTTTCTATCGGACCGTCTTTTTAATCGGCCGATTTTTTTCTGCCGCCACAGAATGAGAATATCGGCCGATTTTGTCGGCCGGCCTTAGTTCGAGGGTTAAGCTCTTTGTGCATTGAACATAATGGAAACTAAAGGGTTCCATTTTTTCCTTTTTATTAAAAATTATTTTTTTTTTAAATTGTCTCCAGTTTAGTATTATAATAAAATTAAGTTCTTACAAACGTAATGGTTTTTATATCGTCACATCGTCCTTACATATTTGATTTTTTGTGTGCTCATGTTGCTATGAGAGAGTAATGTCTTCATGTACAAAATTAATACTTATCAATACTAATGTGTTAGCTTTAAAAAAATATAACTACGGTAGGTGAACTCTTATGAAATACAGTATCTATGACATGCACTGCATTTGTTTTGTTAACTCTTTTGGTGCTGACCTTGACAAAAGTTTACATAAGTTCTGGTTGCTGAGTCAACTAAAGTTTAGTTGACAAGAGGAAGAGTGCTGCTAACAGTAAATATAAATATCGCCTGGCCATTCAATGAATTGAATTGTGAGCCAGGCTACTAGCAGAGATTGTGCAGCTGTGCTTTTGCCCAGCTCTACTCTGCATGCACAATGTATACTATAACCGTGCAGTGAAAAGTATACATATTGCTTCAAGTGACAGTCATAATTTGTCAGTGTGTCGTCATCAAATAGAAGAGGAACCGCAGGAAATATTTCTGTTGAGGGTGTTAACTTTTGAGAATAATTTCAAACAAACCAGACTGTGGAGCAACAGGCAGACCAAGGAACACCACCAGTGTAACATCTACTGCAAGCATTGTAGAGTGGATATGTGTGCAGTGGTGTGTTTTGAATGCTTTCATACCAAGCAGAACTATTGTTTGTAAACTGAATTTTTGTTTAAAAAACTGTCACTAAATGTTAAAAAACTTTTTAAAAAATTATGTATTCATTAGTGTTTATTTGTTTTTTTAAATGAAAAATAACCACTTCAAGGCATTGTAAAAAGTTTTGATTTTTGTTGAAAAGATTCAGCACCATGATTATAGTTGTTTTTTTTATAAATAAATAAAATTAACAACAAAAGAGTTAGAGAAAAAAGATTTTGTAAATTAATGAAAAGATAACACAATGATTTTTTAAACACATTGAAACATTTAATTGTTACTTATTCTTTAAAAAAAGATTTTTTTTTCCCCTCTAATCTTTACATTTTAAGAGTGCTTTAATAATGTTTCACTATGACATAGTGACTAAAAAATTTTCTAATGAAATGGGTTTCTTCATATTTCAGTGGGAACAAAAAGTTGAAAAGGGCCAGGAGGACTTTGAAACTATTTCCAAGAATATAAAAAAAGAAATGGTCCGCTTTGAAAGACTCAGGGTCAGTGACTTCAAAGAAAATGTGATCAAATACTTGGAAGTGCTGATGGAAAATCAGGAAAAGGTAACATCCACCCCCCCCCCTCCCACCCAGCGAAAAAAAAAAAATCACACGCATGATTTATATATTAGCTATTATTATTATTTATTATCTCTCATTAGCCACCACTCAGTTTCCAGTCAATCCTTTGCTGATGACACTCAAATCAGTGACTCTTGCTTTCCTGATCAACTTGATGCCACAATCCTTCGCATACAGGAGTGCGTGGACGATGTAAAGCGTTGGATGACTTGCAACAAACTGAAGCTAAATGATGATAAAACGGAAATCCTTCTCATCCACTCTCAAAACAAACCTCTCCCTCCATTCGCTCCTTCTTCTATATCTATTGGCAACTCTGACATCACACTCTCTCCCTCTGCCAGAAACCTTGGAGTCACGCTTACGGACACCCTCTCCATGGACAAACATGTCACGAATATATGCAGATCAGCATATAACGAAATTAGAAAAATCAGCACCATTAGACACCTCCTCTCCTTTGATGCCACAAAAACTCTCGTCTCTTCACTCATTCTTTCAAAATTTGACTACTGTAACATTCTTCTCTCAGGCATTCCTCAACACCACATAGAAAAACTTCAGAAGGCACAGAACTCAGCATGCAGACTCATTTTTAAATTAAAGAAACATGACCACATTCAACCACACATGCGGCAACTCCACTGGCTTCCAATATCCTCTCGCATCAAATACAAGTCTTCCAATCTTTGCTTCAACTCGTTCACTGACCCTCACTTTCCTGTCTATCTCTCTGAACTGTTGCTTCCTTACATCCCCACAAGACAACTACGTTCTTCCATTGACAGTAGAACCCTCTCAATCCCAAGAACTAAAACTAAGACCATCGGTGAACGCTCCTTCTGCTTCCATGGGCCCACGTTCTGGAACCAGCTCCCCTTCCATATACGTCATAGTGAAACCTCGTCCATTTTCAAAAAGTCCCTTAAAACTCATCTGTTTAGGTCCGCCTATGACCTGTGATGCACCCTCCTTGCCCTACCTCATTTTCTGTTTCGGGTTGATCCTGAAGTGTCAAAGTGTCCTCGTTTTATAGCCATTTTCATTGTTTCTATAGAATAGTAGTTACTATCCTAGTGTCTCATTTTTATTTTACTTAGTTCACATGTTTTAATAATTGTAAAGCGCTTAGAGCTTTATGATAAGCGCTATATAAAAATGCCTAAATAAATAAATAAATAAATATATTGACACATTCAGGATTCTGGCAAAAACATTTATTCACCTGCTTTTGCACTGCGTTATAATTTTATGTGGTTTTTTAAATGAAGGTGGATATTTGCTCGATATAAATGTTAGCTGGTCCATTAAAAGTTTTGATACTCTGCTAAGTGTAGAAAAGTGTATCATTTATTTTTATTTTTTTCCCCCTTTTATCTTCTGTAGCTTGCATTAATTTTTTTTTTCTTGGGTTTCTCTATGACATTTATTGAATATATAATGCTTAAGATTTGCAGATTATACAGTATTATCTAACAAGACAGGAAAAAAACCAAAACATTTGATTTTTTAATTGGTAATTTACTTTACGCTTGTTTTTTTGGGGGGATTCTATTTTTAACGTGTGTAACAGCTGTTTCTTATTTTTATTTCCAGCTCATTAAGTACTGGGAAATGTTCCTTCCTGAGGCCAAAGCAATAGCTTAAAGTAAGATGTCCAGATGAAAAGTTGCAATGTTTGTCAGAGATGCTGAATGTGGTATGCAAGCCTTGTTTGGGCCCTTGACCAACAAATTTTTTTTTTTTTTTACGCTGGAGAATTATGGTTATGTGATTATTTCCCGATTTCCTGAGTTATAAAATAATATTTTTAATGAATTAATTTATGTGTATTCCTTTATTAAAATTATTTAATGAAAAATATTTTTTTTTTCTGCATTCTATTATTAATTTAAAGAGCTGGGCATTTTGATAGTCAAAAATATTTATTTGCTAAAATTAATCACAAAGAGAATTAAATAGTCACATTTTTAATTTAAAAACAATATTTTTCACTAATTGTAAAACTTTTGATTTCAAATATAATTTTTTTTAAAGTCATAATACATTCATTGTTAGAATGTATTTGAAACTTTCCATAAAAAAGCACACATGTTGTTTGATCAACAAAATTGTCATATGCTTTTATCTTCGTTTGTTTTATTAATGCTATTTATTGAATAAGTCCAATGTACAAAAAATAAAATAAAAAGGTGGGTATTTTTTTAAAATTCGAATCATCCCATCTCTTGCATGGATGCTGTTATCTTAAAAGTATTTGTCATTGCTACATTGATGTGGCAGGTTTCATCCATGAGCCTTGAGCTTAGTTTAGATTTCTAGTTAAAATTGTGCCATCTTTCATTTAAAATGGTGTTGCCTAGCAGTAACAGCCATTTGGTTCAGTTCACAATTTTCCTCTTGAAATGTTGAAATCAAATATTGCAAAAGTTTGTATCCTTTAAGGTCATGTTATGTGTTGCATTTAGCAAAAGATGCCAGTGTTGAGAAAGTGCTTTGCTTCATTTTGATTTACGATCATGGCTTTTCCTTGGGCATGTAAAAAAAAATGCTTTCTGTATGGTACATGATGCTGATGCCTCAAGGGGAGATAAAAAAAAAATGTCACACTTGACTAAAGATACAGTCAATGATTAAATGCTCAGTACAATTTTTTAACACACTGCTACCAGCAGAGGTTCACCTTTTTAAAAAAAAAAATTATGTTTGATAGAATATTACTACACATGTATGATTTATTTGCTGCAATAGCTTTCCCTTCTTTGGGCTTGACATCACATGTTATTTACAAAGTTTATTGTTGCCATCCAGTTTCCATGTGTACAAAGAAACATTATGGTGTAAGCATATATTTCACTTTGATTTGATATTGTGATAATTTTTGAAGTATGTATGTTCAAAACTGTTATGGGACTATTTTTTTTTTTCTTCATGTGCTTATTTTTTTCCTTCTGTTTCTTGAAATAGGATCTAGAATTTAACATGAAACTTTCAATGTTTTTCAGTCTCAATTTAGCAAATAATGTCCATTTAATTAATGAGTAAAGCGCATCCTAAATAAAATTGGTTATGTTCTTTATCCATTATTTTTTTTTGGCCTAAAAATGATAATTTATTCATTCCATTGGCTGATATTTTTTTCTTAGGCGGAAAAAAAACTGTGACTTGTTGATTATTTTGTATGTTGTATTGTATTCTATAATAAAAAGAAAAAACATAATACATCTTTTACACCTTTTTATTTTACATTTATTTTATGAGTTTAATTTATCCATAAGAATGTTTAATTAGTTTGCAAATATATGTGTGTTGTTCCTAAATTTCTTTAATAAAAAATGGTTCAATTTAGAAACGCTTTTTTTTTTTTTGGTTTCAATTTTGTATTCCCGCTTTAATTTTTTTTAACATGTGAGTATATTATGTTATCTATTATTTAACATGCACTAAAGAATGTTTTCATTTGAGCTTCATTTTCTAGTTAAATGTTATTAACTAGAAGAATATTGCATTAGTAATGCAAGAAGCCCTTCTTATGCCACAAAACCTTAATATACCGGTATCTATTAATTTAACTATCAACATATTAGTCAAAGACTGTTTTAAAACTGTATCAGATAAACCTTCAGTAATAGAACCAGAGCTGCATAATAGTTAAGAGGTGAGCTTTTTTTTTTTTTAGATATTCCCAAGTGGTTTGATAGAAAACACTATAAGCTTTCATTTAAATGCATTCCAGAAGAATCTACAAAATTGTCAACTCCAGTAATCATGAAATCTTATTAGTCAGTCATATCACCCATAAAAATGATGTCCTTTTTAATAAATTAAATACGTTTATTTTAGATTTGTAATAAAAACTTATAATTCAATAAATTTAAGTACTAAGTTACTAAGAAGCAACTCTAGCTATAATCTAATAATAAAAGGACAGATTTTTTTAAAATAAATGGAATATTTTAGATGTCCAGAAATCTTTTAATCTCATAATTCTCTACAAATTAAAAATCTCATACCTTAATGTAGGGGTTAATTTTTAGTGATATTTAAAGGGACAGACTTCATAATTCTGAAAATGCAATGCTGTACCAGAAGGGACATCCATAAATGATGCCTTGCATCTATAGGGGGTGGGGTCACAATTGAGAAGGGTGTGTCCACTTTTCTTTCAAAATCAGCCAAAATAGCTTCAGGTCATACATGGATGGTTCCAAATTTTGTTTCTCTGCTAGCGTAAATTACGGACAGATTTACAATGCCAATTAGTATAGTTAGTGTATATATGCCCCAAAAAGTTAAGCACGGTTATATATTATTACATTTTTTCCCCACGTTTAAATTTAATCTGATATAAATGAAACAGCTCTAATCGGGTCAAATCCATTGAACCATGAACCATTGTCAGTGTTGTAAACAAAAAAAAATGTTAGCAGTCCTTGTAGACAGGGTTGTTAATTTTTTCCCCTCAGGTTGGGCGGGGTGGGGGGGGGGGCGGACATAAACTTGGCCGGCTTGTTGAGTTGTTTATTTCTAGAGGCGTCATAGTACTTATCAATTGAAATAAGAATTGCCAGATAATGATTTATGTTTTCATTTGTTAAGTTTAAATAAAGGAATAGTTTTGTATTAGGATAAATTAAACACATTCAAATTTAAATATATCGTTAGTTTAAATATATTGTTAGTTTATTTTTTTTCCTTCATATCTTGTTATATGCGCCTTTAATAGTTTATCAATTTGTGCACTTCGATCTCCTTAAAATTTACACTTTGTATTACTTACTGGATACTAGTTTTCTACTGTGTTCTTTTCTTTGTTGTATTTTCATTTCTTTTGTTGGCTGATGAAGGCTTTATGCCGAAACGTCCTTGTTTTGTGTCCTGTTACCTTATTTCAAGCTTTCACATACCTCGTTTCACTATTTCATTCTGGATACTAGCACCAGGGCAGTGCAAAGGAGGCATTTGCCCGAGCACCAAAATCGTATTTAGACAGTTTAGATAGGACATTGATAGTGAATTAAATGATTAATCACATGTAATTCACTAAGACAAGGGGTGCTAAGTCGTCTTTTTACTGATCCGCCCCTAGGCGACATTTTTTGTCTATGTTGATTGGCGCCCTCTTCCCCACAGTATTCGACCTGGGTGCCCCTTTTACTTGACACCGTCCTGACTACCACACCACCATTTAATTAAAGTTGTACCTGACTAGAATAGCCTTGCAATGTTATGTTACTGTATAACTATCATTTTTAGGCCTATCGACTATCATTTATCATTACCATCAATATCACTTACCTACTAACTAGCAAATATCTATTCCTTATATTTAATTATATGCCAAAAACCCCATCCAACCCCACGCTATGTTGCCAAAACAGATATTATCATTATTTAATTTTTTTTTTTGCTTTTCTCTTTGTCTTTATCAATCTTTTACGAACAACTTCACAATATGTGCTGTTTCGTAGCATTCCTCTCGAAACCGTACTGTGCCGTACACATATAGATCTAATTTATTATCACCGGCGATTGCTTTGACCTAGTTTCGATATATCCTTAACAACGGTTGTTGTTTACATAGCTACGGTGTTCATGACACGCGAATAGAAGTTAGAAGGGTTTATTTTTCATTAACGAAGCCTTTCATGAATTGGATTAAAAACGCGGTTTCTTTCTAAAATAACCCCACGAGCTTCAAATCACAGGTTTATATCAATCACAAATGTTTAGAATATCCACAGACAAATACGGACATAGTAACTCGTGCTTTTGATAATGTAGAAATAGCCTGTAGTCTGTAGTGGCTATAACTATAACTATAACTTTAAAATAAACAGAGTGGCAAGGAGTGCGTCTCATGTGCACTGTGTAAGTGTAATGTGTGTAAGTGTGTCCTTTCTTTTGCAGCAGTAATATATATCGTCTTCTGACTATTAATACTATTATTTATTTCATTTGATGAGTAAATTATTTTCCTTAAGTGTTTTCGCCTTGTTTTAAAATTGGATTAACACATCTATTCCAAAAAGGTAGGCCTACGTACTTTAAAAAAATAGTTAACGTAGTCTTGTAAGTAGTCTTTCTTTTTGATAATTTATTTCCGGGGGATGGGGCGGATTTCAGAGGTTGGGGTGGGCAGTGGAATAGAAAGGGTGGGAGGAGGGGCGGTCCACCCTTTGGGCCCTTTTTTTTTTTTGGTTTGTTTTATGGAGGGTGGCATTTTCAACATACTGCAGAGTTTTATCATGTAAGGGGGTGGCAAAAGTCTTGGCCCGCCCAGGGTGGCCATTATCCTAGATAGGGTTAAGTTAAGCATAGTGGCGACCATGATCAGCTAAGACTCCTTCGCCCATCTTAAAAAACAAAATTCATTTTATTTGAGGGCATGCTTTAGGCCGCAGCTAATTTTCCCCTCTAGGATGTAAGTAGCCAAGCCATATGTAAAATTAAAGGAAATTAATATATTTATCAATTCAAGAAAATTATAATAATAATTAAACTGAAGTTTTAAAAAAAAATATGTAAAGGCTCCGACGCAGTAATTTTGATTAGGATAGGCGGACTGAAAGCGGCTGATGAGCGAACATGGGGAGTGGTATGGGGAGGGCTTCACCCAGTCCCCAGAACATTTTTTAGAAATTCCAAATCAAGGATTGCAGTTTGACATATAGGCCTATCTGTTTCAGTGTTTCTTTCAGAAAATTTGATCCGGGGAGGGGAGATTTCAAGGGACATGGCATCTATCAGCTCACAATTAGGCATCACAGCACTCGAAGTCGTACATAACAGGAATTAACTGGGGTAATATAACACTTTAGGTCCCAAATTAGATTGGCTCCCGTACTGTCACATTGATCAAGGTGGGGTTGGGGCAAAATAGCAATCAAGGGTGTCGAAGGCTCCCGAGCCAATGCGTGGGGTGAAGTCTGGGGAAGGAGGTCGATGAGCATAATGGTTCATACCTAAATTTAGTTTAGCATCATTCTGAACTTATAGGAGAGGAACATTATTTAGGTGTCTCTTGATCTGGTTGTATTTATACAAATAAAATATTTTAAAGTTATATTAAATAGTGTAGTTTTACAATATTTTAAAACTATTTATTTAGTTAAACTGCCTCTTTAATATATGAATTTAACACACACACACACACACACACACACACACACACACACACACACACACAAACATACAAAAAGGTGGCCATCACAAAAGCAACTATACTAATTTACTTCATAAATATTTTCAAGTTTGATCAGTTACAAAAAGAGAGAAACAAATCGTTTTGTAGAAAAGGTCTATGTATAATAAATGATAACTTGTATAAATGTCAAAAGATGATCATATAAATTAAAGAAATAGAATATTCAAAACATTGGCCGGTGTTTGAGAGTTATCAAGCATTCACCATCAGGCCATATAGGGTCCTGGCCTGCCAGCATGGGCGCCCTCGGGTAGGGGCAGGGGATTGGATAAAAAAAATTAGACAAAAATAGACAAAAAATGTATTAAAGTAAAGAGAAAATAAAGAGAAAGTAACTAAGCTGATGTCCTGTCCGTTCGTTCATCATACGAATACGCTACAGTAAATTAAAACTATATTAAAACATTACTAAAAAATTCCCCCCCCCCCCATGGAAAG